AGAAAAAGCTGAGTATGTTACTCAGCGCCATATTTATTTCCCCTTTGCCCCTTGTTTGAGCACAGGCTAGGCTGGTGCAGGTAAATTGATAAAACTGGAGGAGAGGGGAATGCAGTGAAGTGCAACACTGCAGAGTACAACTCTTTTTTTTTCTTTTTTTTTTGTGAGGGTCCAGACATGTTCTCATTTAAATATAGGAGCTATCTTTCCGGGTAATACCACCACATGCAATATTTTAGCATATGTAGCACCCTTTTGCATCACACCTAGCACAATTTCAAAATAACTGCTTCAGTTCTACAAAGTAACAGTTATTCTTAAGTAATGATCAAGGTTTGTTCTATTAGCAAATCTAACTCATTCCTGGAGTTTGTTAGGCCTGCAAGCAGACTATAGTATAGCTTATTTGGAGTGTTGCTTTTTTACATTTGAAAGACTTGCCCAAGTGGAGATCTATGATACTGGTTCAGCTAACCAATCTCATACTATACCACTGAATAAACCCTACTTGTCTGGGTTCACACGACATAAACCATAAATTACAAACCTCTTACATGAGCTCAGCCTAGGTCAAATTTTATATTGTCATTTCTATGATTTTATATATAACAAGTCATATCTGGTAGTTGCGGATAACATACAATATTCAAAACACTATGGCAATTTCCCAGTCTAAATTAATTTTTTTTTATCCCAAATATATTAATAAGGATTATGTCCACAGTAGCCTCTCCACTAATTGTGGGGACAAAAGGCAAAACCTTCCATTGGCTAATGCTTCTGAACAATTGCAAATATACCTCTTTCAAGAGAATGCTAAACCTGTGTTTATAGGGGGCCTGCAATTTTCTGACAAGTTTGTAGGAAAGCACTAGTTTGGCATTAGATTGGCTGATGCCTCTGCAGAAGCCAGATGTCTAATCTTTTCTGCAGCTCAAGCCAAAATAGAAGCGTGGAGAGCAATTCACAAAGACTGGAGAGAAGATGCCTGTAGGAGCTGACCAGATTGCGCCTCCAACCACAGCTACAATCGCATTGTCAATGAAGTGTGCTAGATTGTATCCACAGGAAAAGAGAGAACACACTGGTTTAAAACTGGAATACCTAAAGATGACTTTAAGCTGCCTCAGCTGTGAGTTGGGGATGAGACAAAGGCAGTGTCATAGGGACTAAGAAATGGCTGCCAGGGAGTGCTCATACTGTGCCTCTTACAGGGGCTGTGAGAGAGCTATATTTTCTAACCACTACATCAGGGCTTCCTAGCTCAGAAATACATTTACAAAAGACTGAAATGCAGTCAGACATCAATGCCATATTCAAGTTTGGTTTTAAAAAGGAAGAGCAGGAAAGTATCCTCCTCTCCTCTCCAATCCAATCCTAGCTAAGAGGAAATGTTGGGAGAGAAATGGCAGTGATTGGTGCTGGTCAGTGAACAGGTGGAAGGGAGTGTGTCTTGTGGCAGCCACAGGTCACCTGATCTAGTTATGCTGAAAAAAGGCTGCCAAGCACTATAGATTTTATACACCTTGTCACTGTGGTAGAACTCTTAACATTTTTAATCCAGAAGGCAGAGTGGCAATAGAAGATTGATTAAATTCTGTATTGGGAATTAGATGCAGCCAGTGCTATGCAGCATTATAAATGCAGCAGCAATGTACTGGGATAACCAGGCATATCGATGCTGAATTAAGCCCCGAGTGGGCCCTGAAGGCTGCATGTGAACCTTTGCGACCTTTCGGCCAGTTATCAAAACACAAAGTGTGTATGCTGTCACCCTGAAAAAAGCCTATGAAGCACCCTGAATATTTGTTCTCTGATGATGTCCAGTCACAACAGCTTAGTACAATGTGCAGACTTAGCTGTACAACACATGTCAACATAACTCCAAAATTGAAGGTCAGGCAGCATCATTGTTAGGAACAACCAAGTATTACAGAGACCTGGGACTGAGAAGGAAAAGGGATGGATACAATCTGCATGATCCAATATTTATATAGTTTAAATGTAAAGAAGTACAGGGTAAGCTGTATTCACTAAGGATACTTTTATTTTATGGTTTACTTGATTCTATGAAGGATACGTGAGATACTGTATATGGCATCTTTCTCTTCATGTCAGAGCAATTGTGGTCGGAAACCAAACCGTTTTGTTTCAACTTAAATATTTGTTTTCTGGTCACTATAATTAGTTTCGGACATCACGCTAAAGCAAGATTTCGTTCGACCCGGGCTTAGAGAATTCTTCTTGAAGTTTGCCGTCCACGGTTTCTGACGTAGCGCGTTCTGTCCACGTACGGCGAGAAGAACCTTCGCGCGCTGTGGGAACGCGGCCCCAGCACTTTTCCCAAACAAAAGCGGCCGCGCTCGAGGCCCTTCCCGAGGAGGAGGAGGAGGAGGAGGAGGAGGATCAAAGAGCAGGGCCGGAAAAGATCCCGCCTCCGCCGAGAGAGGCCAGATGCCGGGCTTCGGCTCCTCCCCGCCCTGATCCCGCGGAGCAGAGGGACCTATAGAGGGCTGCGCTGCGGGCTCGGGCTGCAGTCAGGGCGATGGTCGCGGTGGCGCGCCAGCAGCCGGAGCTTGACGCCCGCCGGGGGCAGTGGGCGCCCAAGCAGCTCCTTGGATGCGCTGCCCGGGCGGGGACCCCGGGTCCGGGCCTGGCGCGGAAGCAAGACGGGTGTTCCAGGGGCCGCGATGGAGGAGAATCCAGGGGGAGTTCTGAAGACGCGTTGTGTAGGCGGGAGGATGGTAATGGTCCCGGATGGCTAGTGAGTGGCCAGCAGATTATTCCTTCGCTTTTACTCGGGGCGGGTGGGGGGTGGCGAACGTCCCTCCGCGCTCGTTTCCCGGGATCGTTGGATCCCCCTGACTTGGAAAGGTCGGTCGTCGCTTCCTGTCGCACCCCGCTTTTCCTCCTTCCGAAGTGAAGTTTCAGTGGCGGGGCTGCTGTCCCGCTCGCGGCCCAAGGCTCGCCGCTGCCGCTCAGACGGAGCCCGGAGTTGGGCTCGCCCCTCCGTTCGGGGCAAGAATAAGTCCGTATTCTGCATGCGGCCAGTCTAGCAGTTTGCGTCTAGCAGCGGTTAGGGAGCGCGCGTTTCTCTCAGCTAGAAGAAAGGCTTGAAAGCAGCGCCTCCCCCGTCCCCCGTCGCGATGCTTGTCGCCGAGCGGCCAAAGTGTGCAGGTGTATTTTTGAACGTGAAGGTTCCATTTCGCTAGTGCGGCAAATAGCCGTTAACTCTCCTCGTTGGAGCCCCCTTCAGCCCTTCGGTGGCGAGGCCAGTGTTTTAGGCACAATATACGGTGGAATGGAGGTGATGTAACAAGCTGACAATCTGTGCTTCCTCTCTCTTTTCCCCTAAATCCAGGTTCCTCTTCTTGCCCCTGTCCCCTGCTCTTTTCACAGTAGGAACACTTAGTACTAGTATAACTGCTATTCCTCTGGCTGTCCTGTATGATTTGTTTTAATCTGAGCGCTGTACTGTATATGTCCAATCCTACTTATTAAAATCTAAATGTCACCCATCTATACAGAATGCAGTCTCTGCTCCTTGCTTTATTTTAGAAGAGTATATGTAGAAATATGTCGCAGTACATATTTATAGATTGTTACCAGTGGATTTTTCAGTAATACATAATTTGAAGCAATTTAAAATTACCTGAAATTTTAAATTAAAAATTTTAAGTAATAAGCTTATTCTATTAAAGTATTAAAATACAATTTAACTGGAAAACAAATAGCATATTATATTCATTGAAGTTTAGAGAATAAGTGTGATTGCTGTTTAAATGTTTTTAAACATTTTACACCTGAATGTTCCTATGAAAAATACATTAGCTTATTTTCAAGTTATTTTAACATTTCTTTGATATTGAAATTCTTAACATTAAAATCAAGCAAACAAGAAACTATAACCTATCCCTCTTCCTTGCATGCTCATAACTGTAACTTCATAGAGTAAGTGCAATAAGACTGAACATATTTGAAAGTAAATCCTTTGAAATCAGTAATACTTATTCTAAAATGAGTTTAGAATTGGGCTTAACAAACCCTGCAAGATCTTGCTTTTAAAGTTTACTATGGTCTAATTTCCATTGCAAACACTGTAATGTAGGCAAAAGATACTGTACTGGATCACAGAACATTTAAAGCCTTTCAACTCAGTGGGGCTTATATCAAATCACCCAGATAGGAATGCTCTGCTGTTTTTGTTAATAAGAAAGGAAAAAGTTTAGATTTTAAAATTATTTGTTCTGTTTGACTATGGCTTCTTCTGCTAGTATTTTTCATTATGTTCCTTCAGAATAGTTCAGCCACTACTGAACATTAGTCTGGGGAACAGTAAATAGATATGAACACAATTTTTTAAGTTCTTGTAGATGTTATAAACTGTGCTGAAAGCACATCATTACCAACTTTAAAATAATACAATTTGTTTACCGCATGTTGGATGCTTCATTTTATTTCCTACTATATAATAAGGGACTCAAGTTATCAGATTGCCTTTTAAGATGCTCAGAGATAGATGTAGATTGTATAGCTTTTTAATTGTGCAGTTCACTAGGAAAATTACCATCACTTCTTAACAAGGACAGATGTGGCTTATTAAAATAGAATTGTAATAATTTCTGTATATAAGCAGACTTCTAAGTATGCTATATAATTTTCTGTTGTATGTTATAACACTTCTGTAATATCTGGTAAATGATGCTTATAAAATTAATGTACAGCTGTTGATTATTTTTTTAAAATTAAAATGAGTTTCACACTATGAAATTGTTATTATACTGAATATTTGAGGACTTCAGAGCAGCAAATTCTGTCCTTCTAGAATTGTCATATTCTCAATTGAGATTGATCGACATGTTTGCAGTGATTCCCTTTAAGTTGATTGAATAGAGTTTATGGTAGATAATTTTTGGTTTTCTCAACATTGCTGCCCTGCGTCACTCACCATTCATTAGCTGTTCTAGTTGAGGTTGTTGGAAGATGAAATTCCCTAACATTTGGAGGAATACAGATTGCCCACTCCTGGATAAGTGTTTCCAATTTAGTTTGATAAGATAGTGTGTTAGAGTTGAAAAACAGTATTAGGATGGAATAATATAACAAATTATTCATCTTGAAAACTATATTAACTAACTAGAGGAAATCCAGAAGCTGAATAGATTTTTCAAATAATGGTTAAAATATATTATTCAAGGATGTTAATAGTAGAAAATTCATGACATTCAGCTTACATAAGAGATATATTCTATTTGATCTACTCTAACATTCAGAAGATGAGTGGGAAGTTTAAGTTGGTTCACAATATAGCAACTAGTTTATTGACTAACGAGGAATACCCCTTGCTCATCTATATGGCATCTTCATATAACATAACATAAGCCTTTGCACGTTTATTGAAAAGTTAGTTGCACTGTATTCAGTAGGACTTAAATCCTTAATATGTAGCTTCACTTTTAAAGCCCTAAACAGTTTGGGACCTGGAAACCCTAGGGCAGAGATGCACAACCTTTTAGTGGCCAAAGACTGCATGGTGGAGGCAGGACTTATAGAAAGAAAGCTGTGTTACTCTGTGCATCTGATGAAGTGAGCTGCAGCTCACAAAAATTTATGCTTTTCAATAAAATTTGTAGGAAAGGATGCTATTGGACTGTTCCTGTTTGTGGGAAGAGGAAATGAAAGTTTTAATGGATGGAACAATAACACAGAATGGGAAAAGCAATGTGAACTGAATGGAGCAGCATCATAGATGTGGGGATTTCTTTTCTGGGGTGGGAAAATGTATAAATTTGTTTTGGTAACAGTGCCACAAATTCAGCGATCTGGTCAGAGGAAGCTGTTTTGGCTATAAAAATGGCCATAAGGGCCAGGTTGCCAACTCCTATATTAAATATTATCTGTATGTTGATCATATGTACCTGAACATTTGGATCATCTTTGGAGATCGTACTTCACATCCCCTTATTTTCAGTGATAATGTTTGGCTTTGGGAATGCCCTTCACAAAGCACCATAGTACAGATGTTAAAATATGGGCAGTTAAACTGCCCCTTCCGCTCCGTGACTTGGACTACAACTCTTGTGATCCCTTTGCTAATATTGGCGGGGTGATAGGGTTTGAAGTCTGAAAATATCAATCCACCTATCATAAACCAGGTGTTTAGATATTTGAATCCTTGATTTTTAAAACTGTTGCCCTCTGCTATATGTGTCAAGTCCACAATGTCCAAAACCCAATTCAGAAGCATTCTCACGCAACCAGGTTTGGTTCAGAAAAATACTTCTTTATTAAGTGGTACATGTAGCTTGCAAACAGAACATTGCTAAAACTAAAGCCCCGGGTAAACTTCCCTCTACTTATCCCCCCTCCCCTTATTGCCTGGCGTGATTCCTCTTCACCTGGCGTTGACCTCTCTCCTTCCTCCCCCTCCTACCCGAGCTCCTTCCTGGCTCTTTGGGCCCCAGCTGCCTTGTCGGCAATCAGGCCAGTCTAAATTGCCCATATATGGTTAAGCACCCTCCCACCACCCGTTACTACTCCTATTACAACCTTTAACTGCAACCCCCCCCCCTTAGTTACAATTGGCAGAAACAAATCAATCCAACTCCCATCGAATGCAATACAATGTAAAACAACAATAGTAGGGTGATGCAGGTTCTGACAATATGATATATGGATGTGTATATGTTGTATATGTTTATTGTTCACAAACCTTTCTGGCAGTTTTGTTCAACTAAAAGAACCCAATTTTTTCCTCTAGAAGCAAATTTGCCTGTTTGGATGCCTAAGTATGAAAGTTCATTTTGGTTACCAAAAATGAAGGTAGCAATTTCTGCATATTCTGGAGCTGTTCTTGGTCACCCAAGTGTAGGAATGTGTAAATATTTAGATTTTTAAAAACTATATAAAACCATAATTGCCTGATGAGAATGGGTGACTTTTAAGAATCCTGATGGCACCAGGACATATTAAAAAAGGAAGAAACTGTTCTAAATACATGTACAGTATTTAGACTGAATGTATCACCTAAGTTGAGATTTGAGGCAGAAAATGTTAAGCTGTGTTAAAAACAGCCTCTTCAAAAATAGGGGGAATTAATCTTCTCAAGCCTCAAATAGTTGAGAATAAATAAGATGGCCATCCGGGCAGGAGAAATTATGACAGTGGAATTTGCATGCTCTTAAGTTTAAAAAAAAACAACCCTGAGTGTACTATAGAGGGGATGGTTCACTTTCTGAGCTGACTGCCCAACAGTGCTGTACAATTATGAAAAATTAAGAATTGTTATATAGCACATAATGAGGCCTGGGGATAAAAGAAATGTTTTATTTGTTCACTTCTGAAACTGCTCCCTCTCCCATACACACTCCTTAGAAGACATATAAGCCCCTCATTTCTATCTTCTCTCTTCTCAGCTCTTTTCCTGGTTGTGTAGTATCTTAGGTGTGGAAGAGCTGTTATGTTCTGTCTCTGATATATTCAGAGGACCAGTTGTTTATACAGTGTTAAAACTTTACAATAACTTTGTATGAACGGATAGCGCAAGATGTAAGTTGTTTTTGCTTAGGGATTCAAATGTCATAATTATTAACACATTGTTAGTTTACTTTCTCACAAAGGCCACCAAGTTCTCTCTTTTATATATACTGATTTTGTTGATTTCCTTACCCTTCCATCTTCTGAGTTCTCTTGAGGTTTTTTGGTCTGCATTCCTTACGTATTCAGCCCTGCCTTATTGATTTTCTCAGTTATTTTTTTACTTGCATTCTGCTAACATAGCAGTATCCTTTCATCACAACCTCAAAGAACTAGTATCCTATTTAACCAAAAAGAAGAACAGCTCTTTTCCTCAAGTTATTACCTGAGGGGTGGGTGGGGATTATATTTACAGACCAGACTATTTCGAAAGGAAGCAGACACTGATTACTGGGAGAAACCACTTTTCCCTTGCTGCAAGTAAGGACTCTAGAAGAATCACACACAGTCCATGGATGGAGAATCTCTTCTGTCCCTGGACCCCATTTTTCTGAAGTCCTCACTCAGTGAAGGTAGTTATTTAATACCTTTTTTGCCCTAGCCTTGTAACTTCTTTTGAGAAGTGAGTTTGGGCTACTTTATACACACACATACATATATGCACATGCATGCACAGGAATGTTTCATACTCCTACATACCTGCTGGGAAAAGCAATTGCAATAATTGCTCAGGCACTCTAAGTAGACAAGTATTGCATCTGTGTCTGTGTTTGTTTAGATATTTCTGTCTGCTCTTACTTTATTGACAGAGTTGTCTTATATTCAGGCTCTTCTCTTTTTTTAAGTAAATATGGTAATTTCCAATTGCTTTGAAACTTAGCTCAAATAGAAGAGGGATCAGCATTGTTGATATCAGAATCAGAACACAGAATTCCTGCAATGTAAACAGGATTCTTAGAAGTGAAGGATTACATGTATTTACCACCAATGTTCTGAATATAAACATCAAGTGAAATTAGTGATGCAAATAATAACATTATCTCTATCTACTTATATTGTGTATCCACCCTGCCCTCTTCCTCATCAACGCCTTGCTAAAAGAAAGATGTAAGCCTGCTTTTATAAAGCTTCATTATAAGGGTGCAATTATGGACAAAGTTATGTGAATGCCAGATGTTTGGAAAAGATGCCTAAGAGCTTGGATGAGTAGGGACGTCATTGAATTTGTATTGATTTCAACACAATACTGTAGAGAATAGTTCTCATAGCACTGAACACCTCCATGATGTATGTATATTTGTTCAAAATAATTATTCCTTAACACTTCATACTGAAAGCCTATGAAATAAGCTTATAGTACAATAATAACAAGCAAGTGTTCTCTACAAATTTATAGCCTAAAAAGATGCAGCACTGAAGAAAAAAAGACAGAAGAAGAAAGCAAAGTGTTCAGTTCTGATTGAAAAACATGTATTTTATCTCCCTCTAGTGACTGGTTAATATAAGTGCCTGCACAAATGATACCTTTAGCTCAATACGGTTATTAAATAAATACATACATACATACATACATACATAATATTGTTGCTGAAAAGGTCCTAGTTAATCTTATACTTCTTAATTTAAAGTAGAATTGCTGCTGAAGCACTGTAATTTGATTTTAGAATAAGATTTAACTGATACCTGCTGTATATTATAGCTACCTGGTTGTGACATTTGATATTTCAAAAAGCAAAACTAACAGTTTTTGCCATTTCCCAATTTTTTGTTTCTGAAGTTATAGGAATTGGTTTGGATTAAAACTGGAAAGAACTGAGAAAGATGGGGCAAAATTAAAAGTGAAATAATTAAGCATAATATTTAAAAACAAACCAATTAAGCATATAATTTGATACAATTTCTGCCTTTTGTCCTTGATTTAGGTTGAAAACAAAATAGAAATGGAACCAAAGATGGAAGCAATAAGGAAAAACATAAAGGGATTATTTTTGGTGGAGCAAAATTGTCTGAAAAAATTTACCATTCCTAAAAAAACTCCTGATAAAGGTACAGTGAACATACAGCAACATATACAGTTTGGTTTATAAAAAGTATTAAAATATATTATGGATCTGAGATGGCTAACATTAAGAAAACTAATATCTCTACAGCAGAAATTGTGCCACATTTAGACACTACAGGTAGCCCTTGTTTAGCGACTGCCTCGGACAGCAACCATTTGCAGTTACGATGGTGATGAAAAAGTAACTTTGCAACCAATGCCCACATTTACAGTTTTCGCAGCATGTCTTTCTCAGTCACATGCTCATAATTACAGTCAGTCAGTACACGTCCTATGCCTGACATGCTGGGTTTTTTTTCTTTTTCTTTTTCTCTCCTTGCAGAGTGGAGAGATTGCCTAAACAAGCAACCTCTTCCTGAGCTGCTTTTCCCAGCAGTGCGGGGCTTCCCTAAAAAATGCTAACCACAAGTTAACAAGCTCAGGTCTGTGACCTTAATTAGTCAGCTGGCAGCTGCTGCCTGTAACTGATAAGACCCTAATCACTTTCACACTAAAGGCTTTTGTCTGCCTCCTAAGTGGTTAGTGGCTTGAAGGCGTGAGCATGCTAGGCAGACAGCTGGCACCACTGCACAGCTTTTGATGTGTATTCCCCATTGGGTGCCTGCTGACTCTCTCGTAATCCCTTCCTCTCCAATGAATGTAAATACAAACATCAGTTCTCTTCTTGCTAATTATCCCAGCACCAGGATGAGCATTCCCAAGGGTGGGGGAATGAGGAAAAAGGGCTATAAGATTTGCCCTTTTACCCGGCTGCCTCATGAGTCAAGTTCCAAAAACCTTTCCCACCCTTTGGGCTCACCTGGCTGTTTGGGGTCGTATCCTGCTGATGCTGTAAAGCAAAGGAAAGCTGAAGTAAAATCGTAAGCACAGTTGTGGTCACATGATTTTCACTTAGTGATTGTTTCGCTTAATGACAAAGTTGCCAGTCCAAATTGTAGGTCTCGCTAAATGAGAACTACCTGTATTTTGTAGTCATAGGACTGACTTTACTCAATGTATACTTTCAGTTGTATTCAGTTTTTTACTACTGAGTTCACCATCTACTCCAATGTTTCTCAACTTGGCAACTTTAAGATGTTCCATGTCCCCATGCTGACTGGGGAATTCTGGGAGATGAAGTCCACACATCTTAAAGTTGCCAAGTTTGAGAAACACTGGTCTAGTCCTTCAACCTAGAATCATAGAATTGAGGAGTTGGAAGGGTACACAAGGGTCATCTGGTCTAATCCTCTCCAGTGTGCAGGAAGCCCAATTAAACTATCTTTGAGCAGTAACTGTCCAGCCTCTGAAAAACCTGCAGAAATGGAATGAAATCATAGGCCTCTCGTACTCAATGGTTCTCCCCACTCCTTTAAGCTAGCTCAAGGCTGCTTATGATAGCATTTTTGAATGAATGAATGAATGAATGAATGAATGAATGAATGAATGAATGAATATAAAAATATGGATTTCCCCCCTCAAAGATACCTGTTTGACATTGCTTAAAATTCTAAGCATTGTCAAACTATTTTTTCAGCAGGCTTTCTGATGTAAGCTTCTGCTCATTTTATCCTTACGTTGAATGTAAGAAAGCCAATTTGATGTATTGGCTAGTGTGCTGGGCTAGAAACTAGAGACCATTTAGTCCTCCTTTGGGCATGAAAGCTGACAAGGTGACTTTGAGCCTGTCCCTCTCTCAACCCAACCCACCTCACAGGGTGGTTGTTGTGGGGAAAATAGGAGGTGGCAGCATTAAGTATATGTGCTACCTTGAGTTAGCTAAAAGGGATACAAATCAAATCAATCAACAACATAAAATAATAAATTGTCACTTGTTCAGTTTTCATATCCCAGTAAATAAAGAGACTTGAAGGTTTGAACCCGCAGCAGGTGGCAACACTTAGCTGATCTTGGCTGTTCTAAAAAAAAAATAAGACTCATAGATGGTTAGTACTTTGAAGGAGAACCACTGGGAAATGGCAGAACTGTAGGCTAGAGTGAGATTGAAAAATCTCACTATTATTTTTCTTCATTACCAGAAAAAGGTAATGGTAAATCATTTCTCTGTAGTCAGAAAGAGATCAAAATAGACATGCCCAGAAGATATACAATTTATGGAATCTCCCTTTCCTATTTCAGAAATCACTGGAGTCATTAACATTATTCAAAATGGAAAATCTCCTGGTCCTGATAGATTGTCAGGAGAATTTTATAAAGAATTTAGAGAAATCTTAATACCTGAGTTTCTATTTTTATGCAATACTTTGCACCAGGGGGGACCATTACCAGAATCTTGGAACAATGTAAGATAATTTTGATCCTTAAATCAGGTAAAACTTCCTAAGATTTGGCATTTTATAGGCCCATCTCACTTCTCAGTACGGATTATAAACTGTATATTAAACTGTTTGTAAACTGATTAAAAGTGATTATAGGTAAAATTATTCATATGGACCAATCTGGCTTTATTCCAAACTGAAATATATCTACCCCTATTAGGAATTTATTAAATATTATACAAATTAGTAAAATTAATAAATCTTCATTAACCATATGTTCTTTAGATATATTTAAAGGCTTCAATTCTCTGGAAATACAATTTTTAAAACAAATATTAATTAAATTTAAATTTGAGGCAGGCTTTTGTAAGATGATTGTACATATTTGCGGATCAACTAAAGCTCAGGTAAGTCTTAACAGATATGATTCAGATCCCGTCACGATTTTAAGAGGTACCAAGCAGGGTTGACCTTTATCACCTTTACTATTCAATCTAGCTATAGAAGCACTGGAAATAGCACTTAGATCCAATAATAACAACAACAACAACAATAATAAGAGGAGGAGGAAGGAGTATTAGGTATGTTCACTGCCTTGAGTTATTTATAAAAAAATAAAGGTGGGATAAAAAAATCTAAAAGAAAATCAGATTAACAGGATAAAAATGGGAGATAAGACATATCTTTTAACCTGTTTGAAGATGATATGATCTTGACTCTCTGAAATGCTTCTTATTCAGCTAGCTATATGAAGGAGGAGCTAGAGGAATTTGCAGAGGTGTCAGGATTATCAGTTAATTTTCATAAATCACATTTGATATTTTTTCATACACCCCCAAAAACTCAAAAGGAAATTTTCACAGTTCTAGGGATTCTTTAAAAAATTTAGGCATCACTATTACTAAAAATATTAATAAAATTTTTACAAACAAATATGTACCAACATGGAAGAAATTAAAGAAATGAAAAACTGGCTTCAAAATTTCAGTATTTTAGGGTGAATTAGAGTGGTAAAAATGAAAATACTTGCACGGCTTAACTTTTTATTTTAGTGCCTCCCAGTGGTAATTCCAAAACAGACTTTAAGAAATTGGCAAATATATATATATATAGAGAGAGAGAGAGAGAGAGAGAGAGAGCGCTTCTCCTTTCATGCACAAAAACTGAGAGTAAATAAAAGGATGTTATATAGACCTCAGAAACAGGGAGGCTGGGGTATGTCCAATTTTTTAATATCAAGCAGAACAGTTAGGGCACGTGATTCAATTTACGATAGAAGACTCTTCTAAACAATGGATTCAAATTGAAACTATGGTAGAGCCAGATAAGTTTATAAATCAGTGTTCTTTTCCTCCAAAATATTTTTCTAGAATAAAACAGATTGAAAATGTTTTTACTAAAACAGTGCTTCAAATTTGGAAGAGTAAATACACAATTTTGATAAAGGATATTTCCCCTTTAATTCCTCTAATAAAAATAACGATCGGGATAATTATTATGGTTTGGGTAAAATGAAATCTTTGAAAGAATATAATCTTTCACTCTTGAGTGAGATGGACGGTGACTAAATTTGAAATATAAATAAATAAATAAACAAACAAA